TAAAATATTATTCCTCCCTACTAACCCTGCCTTGCTTACATTTTCATGATGGCTAAATCATCACTACTACTGCTTTATTCAAATACTACTGTTTTATTCAAATTAACCCTCAAACATTTGCAACACAAATACCAAAAGTTTCCACATCAAACCTTTTATTGGTGCTGCTTTCAAGTCAGAGAATAACATATTTACTGACTGTACAGAAAAAGTAAGTTGGAAGAAAGAGTGAGAAGATCATTGCTTGACTGTTCACTGGGTCAAATATTTGTAGACATACAGTCTGGGACATATTTCACTTTTAGGATCACAAAACCAGAGAATAAGGTTGGAAGGGACCTCAAAAGATAATCTGGTTCTAAATTTTGTGGCAAAGGGAGCTTATGAGATTATCTATTACCCTGTCCAAATGGATTTTTAAAACCTCTGGTGACAGGGCCTCTATCACGTCCCTGGGAAGGGGTACTGATTATTCTCACTGTATAAAACATAGAGTGAGATGTATAAAATAGTGAGATGAAAACTCTCCCAGTGCAACTTGTACCCATTGTCCCTTGTCTTTTCTATGTGGCTCCAGGTGAAGAGAGAATCTCTGTCCTCTTTGTGACTGCCCATTAAGTGCTGGAATATTGCAATGAGGTACTCCCTAAGCCTTGTTTTCTCCAAGGAGGAAAGAATTAACTTGTCCAGTCTTTCCTGCAAAACCATTGATCATCACCCTCCGAGTGAGGCCTGTGAACCAATTTCCTACCCATATGACAGCCCACCCATCCAGTCTGTATCTTGCCAGTTTGTCCAGGAGAAGGATGTGGGAAAATATATCAAATGCTTTGCTAAAGTCCAGCATCCACTGCTCTCTCCATGTTGACAGAAAATTTTATTCTGTTGTAGAATGTGATCAGGTCTGTTGTAGAATGTGATCAGGTTTGTCAGGCATGAGTAAATCCTTGCTGGCTTTTCCCAATCACACACTTCACGTGGTTTGTAATAGTTTCTATGAGGACTTTTTCCATCACTGCCTCACGGATTGACGTAAGACTAATGGGTCTTTAGTTTTCTGGGCCCTCCTTTGGGCCCTTGTGTATGGTATCTGCTCTTTTCCAGTCATTAGGGATATCCCTTGATCTCCATAACTTTTCAGATATTATAGACAGTGGCCCTGCAGTCATGTCAGCCACTTCTCTCATACTGGGGTGGATTCATCCAGGCCCATAGACTTATGTGGATATAAGAATATAAGCTCTTCTTTGTTAGCATTTCTCAAAATATGGTGGCATAACACCCTGCTTTTTCTACTGGGCTCAACATACAAAACTGTCTGGTTTGGTATGGTACATTCATAAACCATCAAACTTATTGTAAAAAACTGGGTAAATTAAATACTATTCTTTAAAAAAAGGATTCTCACTTTCCTTAAAGTGGACTACATATATACTGCACATGCACAATAAAAATAATATCAAATAAACATGAATGCATTTTCAAACATGATTTAGAAAATGAGAATAATGTAGAAGAGCCAGTACTTCCTGACAAACAAGCTTTCTGCATACCTCACGGGCTTGACTATACCTGCAGAACACCAGAGTACAGTACGTAACACTGAGAAAGTCTTTACCAGCAGCAAATGTATTAAAAATTATACATTTTTTTTGTCCCTATCTCAGTTAGAAAAATGAGTTTTCCAACCCTTCTCATTTTAAGTAGCTTACTCTTCTAGATTCTTGGTTACAAGGGACAAATTTGTTTTCAAAGATGTTGTTCATCGAATGTATGAGTATTACTGTGGCCAGTACAACTTGCCTATACATATTTATTGTTCAAAATTATTAGAATATCTCTATGTCTCATCTTCAAGTGACTGAAGAACTCACTGGACTTGTTATTTCAGCTTTGGTTTTGACTAAATGCATGCAGTAGCTCCTGGGATCTCAGTGTCACTCCGTGACTTTTGCACTCTTCTTTACACTGAAGATATTCACACTTCTGAATTCAGACATGCTGTTTTCTCACAAAGAAAAAAACCTCTATTTCCTAAGATATGTCTGTGTGATGGCAAGGTGAAAGGAGCTAATGCTGTAAGTCAGCTGTCAGTCTCACTGAGCACAGGTTTTCCTGAGGTAGTCAGCTGAGCACAGTGCACTCCTGCTTGGGCTGCTGCTCCTCATCCCATCCTTACTCCCCACACAGTTACCAATCTCTATCACCAAAGCTGGTAGCTACAAAAGAAGAAGCTGCATGAGCTACCTTAAAGAAGACCCAGACAGCCTTGTACCCCTGGTCTGAGAAGGATTATGAGTGGCAGCACAAGCAGGGAATGAAAAAAGTAAAGGAAATGAAAAGCAGGCCATTTAACCAACTCCTTCCCAAGCAGGTAAAACAAAATGGGTGCCATGCAGCACAATGGACTTCCTACACACCCTGAACATTGTTCAGAACAGCACTGGTGATGTTGGAGATGAGGCCTCTTCCTGATTCCTTCTCTTCTTCAAGAATAAGTAAATGCCCTCCAACCATGTTATGGCCAATGCCCAGAGTGGAGTAAGTGCTGCCTGCTAATGAGACTGTCTGGTCTGAAGTGAAGGCATATTTGAGGGACCTCAAAAAAAGAAGGTTTTGGGGTTTCTTGGTTTGGCTTTTCCCTTCCTCCCCCAAATATAAAAGCACAGTGGTTGCATTTATAACTAACAGACTGAGCTCTTCCTTCCAATAACACATGCCATCCATAATACCCACCCTCTACAGTCTCTATTCCAGAGTGATTCAGCATTGGCTGATGTAAATGGAATGGTTTTACTTTAAAGGAAAAAAAAATTTTGGCTGTCCATTAAATGTCACAGGAAATCCATGGCATGTAGGAAAATAACTGTGTACAGTACTGTAGAGCCAGGACTGTCTAACACATGTTGTATTTATTATAGTCTAAGCATAATAACAGCATTTTAAATGAGCAGAAAGCAGGAAAAGCCTTATCTGCCTGTGAATGTGGAGATATTATTATTACTGAAAGACTTATTTCCTCCTTCTGATTTCTGACATGTGCTCAGGTTGGGGTCTGTAACATTATCTTAGTGCTCTGATCCTGCACACATGTAGAAGGCCTCAGCATCAGGAAAATAGTTATTAGCAACTGATTTGTTCCTGTTTGCAGAACCAAGCTCATGTCTGAAACTCCTGGGAGAATCAGTCACTTCAGAAGGCAAGGAACTACAGCCCGGGCTCTTGTGACACACCCATCCAGACTTCTGTGTTGTTTTCAGATGTCAGCTCTGGTCCAGGGAGGGAAGCACAATGCAGCAGCTCTGGGGTCGCCTGAAATCAGGAGAAAGTTGTCTCAAGTCGGGATCTTACTACAGTATCACCAGAAAAAAAAAAAAAGATGTTACTTAATATCTTTCTGTGCTTCCTTTCCTAAAACGTGTAGGAGATACTTCTTTATCTCACAAGGTGCCTGCCCCAGAAAGGCAGGAAGCTACATGTTTTCTATTAGGTGGAGCATTTGAGCTTCCTGGGTAGTGAGACTTAATTTCAGTTAACTTGCTTTCAAGGGAGAGTGGCCTAATTGTTCCACAATAGACACATCTTGTGTTTTCTTAATTTATTTCTTTTTTAACCTGAAATGCTATGTGGAAAAAAAAAAAAAAAAGAGATCTGCAATAGAGTCCTCAGTATCTTACTCACTTTCAGCAGGAGAAATCTTTGTAACTGACATTTACTGCCCAAATCTCAATTAAGTGTAACCTTTAAAAGAAGCTAGAAGCTAAACCCAGGGCGTTTCACAAAGAACAAATACTCTTTATTTTCTAAACATACAAATTAAAAAAAAAAAAAAAAAAAAAAAAAAAAAAAAGAAGAAGAAGAAGTTAAAAAAACCAGGGGGCACAGGGTTTTTAAAAGCTGTTGTGGAATCAGAGGATGATTCAGGTAGGAGGGGACCTCAGGAAGTCCCTTGTCCAACCTCCTCCTCAGGGCTGGGTCAGCTCTGAGCTTAGAGTGGGTTGCTCAGAGTTTAACCCAGATGAGTTTTGAAAGCATCCGAAGGTGGAGATGGCACAATCTCTCTGGGCAATCTGTGCCTGCCTCCCTAGGGGACAAAAGAGTCTGTAAACCCAGTCCAGTCCTCTCATTCCATCTTGTCCCTGCCGTCTCACCCTCCAGCCGTGCACGGCAACGGAGACCATGGTCCCACCTGACCAATATCCCTTGCAGCCCGAGGGTGTTCTTTTATCCCTGCCATGGCTGCAGTTGTCACGCTCCTCCACCCTCCTCGCAGGGAGGTCTCCAGCATGATCCGTCCTGGAGCCCTCTGCTGAGCTTGCTCCAGCTTCTCCAAGTCCTTCCTGCCCTGGGGACCCAAACCTGGGGCCGTGTGTTACACTGGATGTGGTCTAGCGAGCGCCGAGTAAGGGAGGAACGACAACAACAAAAATAATAAATAAAAACAAAAGCTTTCTTTCAGCCTTCTCCGGCATGGGGGGGGGGCGCTGAGATTTTCCAAGCAGCGAGGCAGGGGCACTCAAATTACACAGGATTATAAGGGATTCCGTCCGGTCCTTGAGGACCCCGTCTTGAAATCACACGTGGAGTGAAAACTCGGTTCCCACGGCGCTCGGCACCCTGCGGACACGGCCGCCCCCGCCCTGCGCGGTCCCCTATCCCTTCGGCGCCAGGCAGCGGCGGCCGCGCCCTCCCCGGCCGGTCCCGGTCCCGGCCCCCGCCTGTGGGGAGGCGGCGGGGCCGCCCCGGGGCGCGGGCGGGCGGTGCTCGGCGCGGCCCTTCCCCGGCCATGGCGGCGAGGCGGCCGGCCGCCCCCGGAAGGGGAGCCCGCCGCCAACCGCCCGCTGACTTCCCCCGCTGTCGGGCGGGGAGGGAGCAGGGCAGGCGGGGGCGCCATGCTGCAGTTCTTTGGTAAGGCTTCCGCGGGCGGGCGGCGCCGCGCCATTTCGCGCGCGGCGGGGCGGGGCGAGGAGAGGCGGCGGCGGGGCCGCTGCCCGGGCAGGGGAGGGAAGCGCTGCGTTCGGTCACCGTGTGTTCGGTCACCGTGGTGTGACCCGGCTCCGTGTCAGTCTGGCGGCCGCGCCCAATTTTAGCTTCCCGGCAGCGCAGCATCCCTTGGGCGTTTTTCCTTCTCCTTCTCCTTTCCACCCGCCCTGTCCCGCTGTTCGGTACCCGCCGTGCGCAGCCCGACCGGACCCCCTTGTTCTCGCAGAACTGCTCTGAAAATGGGAGTCCCTGCCTTGTTTTTCCTCCAAAGCCGTGCCCTTAATTTGCCTTGGAGATTCAGCAGATTCTGCTTGCTCACGGTGATGCTCCGCTTGCTGCTCAAATTTCTTTGTGTAAGCGTAATACCTCCCTCCTTTGATGAGAGCAGGAGTGTCGGCCCTTTGCCATTTTGTGCACCCTTAAAAATTTATCGCCGGAGATGAGGATTTTTATATATAGAAGTTAGGGCGAGGGATCGTATTTCATTGCTGCCTTTCATTACACCCCCTTAAGAACAACAGAATTAGTAGACCGAATGTTTTTTTTATTTTTTTTTCATTTCAACACCCCTGATCCCCTAAACTCCTCTGGGTGCTTGAAGTTAGATGCCTGAAGTTAGACTACTCTCATTCAATACTTGATCGATGCTGGTATTTACTGCCAGATGTGGGAATAGATTCCCTGACCAATAACGTTCTTGTTTGTGCTGTTGCAAAGCATGGAAACAGCTTCCTATTTTTCATTCTAGAGATGTAAGGGCTGCCCTAGGGTTTTAGTTGTGTTCTGATATGTCCCAATAAATACAAACAATAAATGATATTCTTTCATCTTTTGTTGGGGGAAGATAACTCAGCTGGCTCATAAGTTTCATACCAGGCACTGATACAGAGGAAGAAGAGATGGCCTGTTGTAAGTTGGGAGAGCCTTGCCTGTTTTTTATAATGAATAAATAAGGCCTATTTCTTATCCCAACTTCATAATAACAAAGATGAAAGCCTCAGTCATTACTGTAGCTGTTTATAATCCCTCTCCACTCCAGTGAAAACAGTAAGGCTGAATATGGTTAGCCACTCTCAAAGTTTTTGTGTTTAGCAACTCTGCTGCTTGCTGCTAATGGTTTTTTGTTGCTAGATAAAAATATGACTTCTTGATTAGTGTGTGAAAGTTAGAAAAAAGATATACTTATTCTAGTTTTTTTCCCTACTTGGGTGTAAATTGGGTGTTTGACTCTTGCTCTCCCTTGTAAGGGCTGTAGCAGGGAGATAAAGGGATAATCTCACAAACCTTGTGTTTTTGCTGTCCAGAGTTAATCGTTAAAGAAGCATTTGCCAGTGATGCAACTTGAAATGCTTGGTAGAAATTGGAAGACCCTAAACTCTCATCAGCCCTGTTGTTTGTAGTCAACATGCACATTTTAACTGGCTATATGTTTTGCTTTCCATGTAATTTAAGTCTGAGTAGTGATTTTTTTTCCCATTGCTTGAATTGTCGACTCTAAAAACAAATGTTACAGGTGGATTGCTCTTCAGTGCAGTGCTAGACTTTTCAAATAAGGAGACACTTAAAGGGAGTACTGATCTCAGAACTGTCTGTACTGGATAAGATTTATCTCACAACAGAATGAGACATATATTGGAAATGTTCTAGGGTAAAAGCCTAGAAAACTGCTGATAAACAAGGCTAGGACCTGGTTTGTGTTTTCAAGTGGCTTTCCAGGCACTGCTAAGGATACGAGAAATTCTCCTCTGCATCTGAGTGATGTTCTGCATTAAGAAAAATCAGAAGTCTGGTTTGCATCAGTGCACTATTTGTTAGTATCTCCTGGAGTACCTCTTTAGCTGATAATTGGAACTACAGGAGCATTTGATAACCAGTGCAGTATACACACACTAAAAAGACTCTACTTGTTCTTAAATTGTTAAAGCCAAGCTCCTTAAAAAGTAATAATAAACAAGGAATAAGACCAAAAATCTGTTTAAGAAAATACTGAGGTAACTTGCAGTCATAATTCATTTGGCACCTCTCAGCAAATTTTAGTTTTCTATAGATAGATTTTCACCAGTGATGTTTACAGAGTCTGAATCACTGAGAAGATGAGCTGTGCTCTATGCTGCTTCTGGCATGGAAAAAATGTCTGGTCAGTATGAGATGGCCAAGTTGTTTTATGGACAGTGGGTTTATTTTTCTCAAAATAGTCTTAATTTGACAGCAGTGACCATGAGCAATAACAATTTTCTTAAGTAGAACTGGCCTCAGCTGTCATAGGGAATGATTTGTTTGCTGACAGTGAACAAAAGCACAGTGTTAGTAGTGTCCCCTTTCAAAACAGTTAAATGAGCTTTTGTAGTATAGGACATACTTATTTTAGAATGTAACAATAAAAAATGTAGGATACTGGTGAATGAAAATTTTATCACCTGTCTTTGAAGAGAGGAATTTCACTGCAGAACTGTTCTTATGCTTGAGGATTTTCCTGAGCTGGCAAACAGGGTTTAGGCCAGAAACTGCTTCTCTTTTGCTTTTGCCCCTCTTCCCAGGTGCAATTTTATGGACAACCTTCATCAACTACAAGTTTGCATAGTTGTCAAAAGAAGTTGTGCTTCCAACCAACAGTATTTTCCTACCTCAGAGGAGCCCCTCAATCAGAGTGGATTTGGCTGAGAACTAGAGGCTTAGGATCAGAAGGGTCTGTCTGGAAGCTGGGCAGCTGTTATTGCAGAAGAGAAGTAGCAGGTTTACACCAGTTTAAGTTGATGTACCCTTAGACCTTTTGAGACTGTGATCATTGTGCAATCAGAGCCTCTGTTCTGACCTTCAAGCTTGTGAACCTTTTTTTTGCTTTATACAAAGACATAACACAGTAATATATGTATGTCCTTTTCCAACACTGAGCATCATTTTAGTGGGGTGTTGCTTTAGGCTTTTCCATCACGGACCAAAAGTTTTGTGGTATGTAAGTCCCTGTTGCTATCTCCTCCATTTTTGTAGGAGGTAGTGCCTTTGTGGGTATGCAGAGAACCTTACAAAGGGGTTCATAGCTTCATTCAAATGGTCTTAGAGATGTGTATTAAAAAACAACTGTGCACAGTGTTTTGGAAATGATGGCAAGGTTTTCCTGGTGAGGGAGATGGGTAAAACTGGACCCCTCTGGATGAAAGATGAGAAATTAAGTAGGAGTGGAGTTGAAACTCTTTAATCTTTACATGACTTGCAATATCCCTTTCTCTTTATTTTAACCAAATATGCTTTTAATGAAAGAATGTTAACTCTTCTCCCTTTCTTCCTTTTTAGCTTGGTTTTACTCTTGGCAATGTGGTTGGGATGTATATTGCTCAGAACTATGATGTGAGTATCCTTGTATTCTCAGAGTTAAACCTATTCTGAACTGAAAATATAATACTGTCTTCCCTCATTTGGAACTAAATCGGTTTTTATTTTGGGTTATTTTATTTAAACAGAATGCAGATCTTACTGACTTCAGTTACAAGAGCAACTCAAACTTTTTCAGGAAGAATTTCTTCACTGTAGTCAGGCTTGGGAACGGGCTGTCCAGAGAAGTGGTGGAACCACCATCCCTGCAGGTGTTCAAGAAATGACTGGGTGTGGCACTTAGTGCTTTGGTCTAGTTGACAAGGTGATGTTTGATCAAAGGTTGGACTTGGTGATCTTGGAGGTCTTTTCCAACCTTAATAGCAAAAAAAAACAAAACAGAAAAGTGGAACCAAAACATTTACCTCTCTGGCATCTTCTCTGTGACAGTGTAATTCTTAAAGCCTTAACTGTTGTTCAGGTATCTACATAGATAGAGACAGGAGAAATGGAAAAGATTTAGCAATTGTTCATGGGTTTTACCTGCACTAAAATACTGGTTTCCTGACTCTGATAGCCTGTCTGTTTGTTAATTAAAAATCCTCAGAGTATGCGAAATGTCTGTCTTCTGTACCAATAATGAAAATAAATTCTACCAGCTTTTTTTGAAAATTCAGCACCTGCTCCTACTTCAAAAAGTGTATTGGCCTGCAATCTATCTTTCCTTCTTTTTTCATGGTGAGAAAAGAAAAGGAATTTTCTTTCCTCAGTTCTCACAGTTAACAGAGTTTTCAGTGTGAAGGGGCAGAAGATTTCAAGCTGAGTCTTCAATATATGCTTTTAAACTTCTGTAGAGTCAGGAGGATTCTTTGGAAGAGCAGCGCCACTTAGTTGACAGGCTAGAGGAGTTAATAACGTTTAACATGCTTTTTTCTTAATTCTTATGCGATCTGTATTAGCCTAATAAAAAAAAAAATTTAAAAAAATCAAAACAAAAACGAGTTGTTGAGGCTCTGATGGCATTTATCTTTTGCTTTCTTCTCATCTTCAGTATTGAAGTCATCTTGCTTAAAAAAATTGATACATTTTGCTCCTTGTTTATGCACGTGATGTCTCCTGTCAGTCACTCCAGTGAGAGTACTAATGAAAGGCTAGTGTTTCTTTCTAGTGTGTGCTTTAAAGTGTTACAAAAATGTAGTCATAAGAATATGGATGTATCAATATGTATCATAAACATGGTATAGTGCTTTTCTGGCAGCACTAATAAGGTATTGCCACAAGAGGGGGACTCAGGCTTTTAGTTTGCAGGAAATGGTTCCCTGGGAATGTAACATTGACTTGCAGGATGAACATGGTAATTTTATTGCTGGTATTGAAGATGGCTTGTTTTTGATGACATCTGAGATAAACTTGTCATAGCGAGGTGCTAATTCTGCAGCTGCACACACGTGTGCTCAGTTGTAAGCACAGGGAGGTTCTGGTGACAGCATTGGAGTTCTCTTGGTTTAGTTTAAATGTCAGGCTGGGCTCTTAATTTTGTTTACTCCAACAGAGCTTACTTTTGAAAAGGAAGGCAAGAGCAACTTATGTTACTGGTACTGTCAGCCTCAGATCACCCAATAGGAGAACTGCAGTCTGTTTGGAGTAACTTCTGCTCTGTGGTCAGGTTACATATGAAGTAAAAGCCCTTGATTTTTTTTTTCCACAACTACTTGTGGAAACTTGTCTTAAATTTAATTTTAATCAGCTAGCTTGTAAAATCCCACATTGTCACTTCCCAGTTTTAGCTAGAGTCATGAGATAATCTATTCCTCGCCCTTAAAAGTTGCAGCATTTTTTTCAAGTTACCAAAATTTACTGTTGGATTATTTGATCAAAATTCTCTTATTTGCAAAAGAAAGCTGAAGTTTTGAAGCTTACAAGCAGTAAATTGAATTTTCATTCAAGTGTGAAACTGCAAAAGGTTGCCAATTTGCAATGCAGTAGAATTTTGTTCTACTGTGGGATTTTGTTCCCCATAGTGTGGGATTTTGTTTCCCACAAGACAAATCAGGAGTATTTCTTAATAAATTTCTTGAGAACATAATTGATGCTCTTAAACATCTCTTTTGTCTCAGGTTGTGACCACTATAGTGCAGTCTAATTTCCCCTTCAAAAGTCTGTGTATCAGTGTTTAAATCTGCTTGTTCTTGGCAGTTCCTCCTCTCTCAGTGAGGAAACCAGACTGGTCTTACTAAATTTCCTGTACAGTGGTCTTTTTTCCTTTCTCCTTTTCCCATCACCACTGGCTGACTACTAGCCTTAACAACCTAAAATATTTCCTGAAGCCTCCTGTGAGGTGCTTTCATCTGCTTTTTGCTTGATATTGCTTTGATTTTAACCTCTGTGCAAGGCAACAGATACTGGAAGTATCTTCTAGAAACCATAGAATTTAGAAATCCTAGAATTTCTTGCTGTGTTTTTGGTATTGTTTTTCCTGATAAGACTTATGTAGCTCAGTATTTTGTTAATTTGTGTAGGTTTTGATGAATGTTTTTTCTTTTGTCTTTAAAGATTCCTAACATTGCGAAGAAGCTTGAAGATTTTAAGAAGGATGTGGAGGCTAAGAAGAAACCTCCCAGTGACAAGTCCTGAAAGAGCAGTGTTCCCCAGGTCACCTCTGTGTGTGCATCAAGGATGCAATTTATCTTTCAGGCAACAAGGGTCAAGTAGAGGGTTGGCATGGGAGGTTCCTCCACTCTTAGTCTCCTAGAACTGGAATGTCCTTCTTTTGAGAGAGCAACCGTGAACTTTACCTGGGACTGATTTTCAAGGGTTTCAGAATTTCAATTTGCAGCTGATGTGTGACTGGATAAGTTTGTATTTTTCATTATTTCTTTTCCTAATATTTTGTAACCCATTTTTACCTGATCCAACTGGAGTTGTTAGCCCTGTTACTATGTGTACCTCACACTTTGTAGTGCCCTAGTCCTTAGAACTTCACAAAAGAAATTAAATGCATCAAGAAGGAACTTTCAGGTTTCTTGTCGTTTGTTGTGAGCAGCGGTACTTCACTGTCTTTAAGATCCAATTCCATTGTTGGAGATGCCAAACTTCATTTGTCAAGGTATGAATCTGTGGAAGGGGGGGAGCTCCTGCTTTTCCCCTTATGTTGAATGATCACTTCCAGCAGCACAGACTTTGTACAAACATAGCTGATTTCAAAAAGTGTAAAAGGCCTTTGTCTCTGCTGCTCCTTCCTTCTCAGGGGGAGGGCTCCTTGTACTCTTTCCCTGCTCCAGTGTGGGTCTTGGTAAAAGGTCACAGATCTGGGTCACAGGTTATGGGTCATGTCAGAGGGAACAGACCTGGGTCATACTTTCAAGGAGTATTCTGTTATCCAGGTAAAGGAAACAGAGCGCACCTTGCGTCTCAGTGCCAGACTCCAGCACTTTCCTGGTGTAAGTGGTGCCAGTCTCATTTCCATGTGCTGTTGAGCTCTGGTCTGCATTGGAGCCCATGGTGAGGGAAGACTGCAGATCCCACATTCTATGTTAGTCCCAGGGCTGTCGTGGCTTAACCCCAGCTGGCAATTCAGCCCCATGCAGCTGCTGACTCGCTGCTGCCCGTGGGGTGGGGAGAGAATTGGAAGAGTAAAAGCAAGAAATCTCACGGATTGAGACAAAGACAGTTCAACAGGTAAAGCAAAAGCCACATGCTAGTAAAGCAAAACAAGGAATTCCTTCACCACTTCCCATTGGCAGGCAGATGTTCAGCTATGCCTGGAAAAGCAGGGCTCCAACACGTGTGATGGTGATGTGGGAAGACAAAACACCATCACTTTGAATGTCTCCCCCTTCCTTCTTCCACAGCTTTAGGTGCTGAGCATGTCACCATGGAGTATCACTGGAGTCAGTTGGGAGCAGCTGTCCCAGCTGTGTCCCTTCCCAACTTCTTGTGCCCCTCCAGCCTCCTCAGACCTGGATGCTGGGGTGAGGTGAGATGCAGAAAAGGCCTCGACTCTGTGTAAGCTCTGCTTAGCAAGAACCAAGACATCCCTGAATTATCCACACTGTTCCCAGCACAAACCCAAAACACAGCCCCATACCAGCCAGCTATTGTGAAGAAGATTAACTCTGCCCCAGCCAACACCAGCACCAGTGCACTCTCCACCCCTACAGGGCGGAGAACGCCAGGTGCCCACCAAAGCTGCTCTGTCACTCCAGTCTTCAGCTGGATAGGGGAAAGAATAGAAGGAGAGCTTCGTGGGTCAAGATGAGGACAGGGAAAGATCACTCATCAATTACTGTCACAGGCAAAACTAGCTTGACTTGGAGAAATTAATTGAGTTTATTACCAATGAAATCAGAGTAGGATAATGAAAAATAAAACTGTCTCTTAAAACACCTTCCCCCTACCCTCTCCTTCTTTCCTGAGTTCTCTACCTCCTGCCCCTGAGTGGTTTAGAGAGACAGCAAATGGCAGCTTTAGTCAGTTCATCACACATTTGACTTTAACTTACATTTCAACTGCATTGTTTCTTCCACCATCTCTTGTTTCTTATACTGTCTCCTCCCCTTCTTTTCTTCCTGCTTGGTTGCTTGATGATGTCTCTGGATTGCTGTGGAGGATGGGAGACAGAAGAACTATCTTCCATACATGGTGGGCAGGTGGAGATCAGCAGTTATGCTGTGAATCCAAACCATTCCTTTTATGTACTTAATGGTCCAGTTTGTGTGTAGTTGTTCTAAGTATGCTTTTTTTTACTGCTTCTTGGTGTGGAACAAGGGCCAGAGCTCAGTATTTCTCTCAGGTATGTCTGGTATTCTCATTAATTCCTCATTTGTGTGTATGGTCTTTAGCCCATTGCCTTTGGTTCAGTTGTCTACCATGTATTTTCTTAGGATTAGAACTAGTTATCTGCTGTCCCCATTATTGTTTGTCTGGTATGCTACTTTTCACCCACTGCAGCCACTAAAAACCCTGGTGTGTGAGAAAATACACATCTTATTGTAGCACTTCTGTTTGAAACCATAACTTTGCACAAATTCTGTTGTAAATTCTGAACAAAAATTTGCAGTAATTTGAATAGATGTGAATCTTATTAATGCAACAATCTGCCAAATAAAATTTATTTCATTTTTTCCTGTAAAATAGAAGAGTTCTATCAGCTCTGTGAGGTGGCTTAAATCACTGAGTCCACTTGACAGTCTTTAGCAGGATATGAGGGACAAAGAAAAGTGCCAGAAAGACATCCTCCTTGCTTTTATTAGGAATACCTAGTGACAGGCTGGTATGGACAAGTAGGAGGAACAAGCATAGTGAATGGCCTGTGTTAGTTCAGGCTCTTGATTAAAGCATACCTGGAGTGTTTCTCCATTAGTGTTTTAGTTAGGATAAAGATTGTGCCTTCTGAGTGAATTGTCCTTTTATCATGCTTTGATTCTCATCACAGGAAATCTGTAGGGCACATGGACTGGATTCTTCTTAGAAGAGACTAAATCAGATGATGTGCTTTGATCTCTAATGGGTGTTTAGTCCATTAGACAAGCCTGGAGACATTCAGAAGGAAAATATCCCAAGGTTTGGCGACTGTTTTGCTCTATTAGTGGACCCAGTGGAGTGCACTGTTTGGTATAAACATAGCATGAAAGCTTTTAAGTACAAGACTCTCTATGTACCGATTGTAATTTTCAGGCTTGACCACAAAGCCTTTAATTTGAATATATGAGTGGATTCCAAGTTCAAGAGTTCTCGCTAATCATTAAAGACAAATTTACAGAATACCATACACCAAACTTCTGCATCTTTGCCAAAGTTTGGTGATGACAGAGTTCTTCCACAATGCTATCATGCAACAGAGGAAAGTATTCCTCATGTAAGTATTCTCCTTAAGGAATATAAATATATATAAAGAATATTTCACCTGCAATTTTCCATCCTTCCTTTCACCTCTTCCCTGAAATATGTAGCTCACATAAAAGCTTTCAGTCTTTGCAAAGAGTTATTTGACAGGTTTAAAAGCCACCTCAGGTCAGACAATCTTAGTAATGATGCTACCAACTCTCCCTTGGGTAAACACTCAAAAAAACTTAAACAGAGAGAAGTGGTTTTACCAACTAGCATTAGCTATCAGAAACCTTGTGGTAGTAGTATGTGTTGAAGATACCCAGATTGTGCTTGGTGAAGGCAGTTCACAAATAAAGTACAGTGAGGTTTAGATTTACTGAAGTAGTACTGTACACTCTGGTTCTTGAGCAAGGTTTCCATTACCTTTCATAGACTTCAGACCTGACTGAAAGAATTTTTTTCCGTGCACAAAAGCTTTTCCGTAGAGTGAGATAGCAGTGCACAGCTGTTCTGATGCTTTCATAGATAGGATGAACTTAGTTTCCCTAAACTTCCTCCCCACCCTCCCACATCTTTCTTTCCTATTCTTGAGCAGACCATTGAAAAATACTGGCTCTAACCCATTCGTATTTCTTTGCTTACCATAAAAAATCATGTTACTGTTTAAAATTACATTATTTCTTTCCTCAAACATGCTTTATGTTCTTCCCTTTCTTTACATGAGAATGAGAAGGGAAATAATATTCAAAATATCTGTATTTGTTGCCAAACAGGCCAGTGTTACTCTCAAAAGTGTAATTTGGAGCTCTTTTGAGCTGAGTATTCCAAGCAGATGTTAGGGTTTGTTTGGGTTTTCCTATCATATTAGGAAGTGAATGAGCTACAGCTGTAATGCTGTAGAAACAATATATGCTCATTAATATTGAAGACAGGACTTCTGAAGTGTTTCACACTGTTTTCAACACTTTCCATTTTAGCTCAAGCTGGGTTTTTGTTGCCCACATAGTAAGCTGCAAATCCGCAAAACATTGTAACACAGTTCCTGTCAACTTTGCAACTACCATATAACATTTTACCTCACCTGAGGTTACCCTAGGTGATACTAAAGTTTATCTTTCAGAGGGCAGAGGATATGCACAAATAATGACTGCTTGATGCAGATCTTGCATCTGGGGGCTCAGAGTGCTTTGGATGCAGTGGTGTCATAGCAGGGTGCAAAGGATGGATGTGCTGTGAAGATAGGTAGGAGCAAGTTTCCCACTTAACATGGGTCCTGTGAATTTCTGCCCATTTCAAATGCCTATGTGGATAGCTGAGATTGCCAGCTAAAATATATAGTCTTCCCTCCTTTGCTAAAAACAATTGTATTCATTTTTTTGTATTGATTCTTTCGAGACATGTCCTAGGAGCTGAAAGTTCAAGGCAAAATGGGAGGAAAGGAATATATGAGCTACTAACAGACTTTTAAAATATTTACTGTGGATTGAGGCTATTGACCTGTGATGGAAAATGCTGCCCTAAGGCTCCTCTAAGATCATCTTCCATTGAACACAGTAAAGGGTCAGTACTGAAAATATACAACATTTCAGGTAGCAAAGCTAATTATTAGCTTACTGGGTACCAAAATTCAAGTAAAGGTGGTGGATATACCTCACAGAACTTCAGTAACATGGATGTTCAGTGGTTCTGTTTTATGCAGAACCACAGCCCCTTGTGCCCTGATGTGTGCTTCATCCCTGGTGAAACTGAAACATTGAAAAGAAAGAAACTGGAATTTTCAGTATTACTAAGGTGTTGATTTCATAAGCCTAGGTTATTGCAGAAATAAAATTGTGCATTGATATTTGTATGTAAAAATCAATATCAATATTCTGTAAGGGATGCAGAATTACTTTGAATATTAAGAAGTGATGGTGGATATGGGAGTGTGTATATTACTGATAAAATCCAGAGGAAGTTTCCTATACAATTCTATTTATTTTTGCCTCAGAGGGACAAAGAAAGAGATATACAATTTTATTTGTTAAATTTCTTGATGGTATATGTTAACATTTATTTTAAAAAGTCCCAAGTCAAGGTAATTTTTATTGAATTTGCACTGTCATAAAATAATTGTGGAGGTTATCTGCTTTTTTACCTGATACATGCATTAATCACAGATGATCAATTTTATTTTCTTGTA